GAGCACTCACGTGCAATGCAGAGGAAGCCAAGTGAAAGATTTGAGATCAAACATGTGCAGATCATTTAATTTCTTCCTTTTAGCATCTTCACCCCCAAATAAAATTAAAACAGAGCTTGCTCGGACCACTGTATGACCATGGCGGGCAATCTGCAAAAAGAAAACATAATTTTTTGTTAGGAAGCACATGCCAGCTTGTGTAGGGTTCCGCTTGCTATTAGGACTTGTAATGAATTTACCAGAAAAAGAAGGGGGGGGGGGTTATGAATATAAAATGTGTTAGGGTACCGGAATGTCTCCCTTTGCTTCAATGATTGACCAACACTCTGTTTCTGTGTGAAATGCCCACACTGAAAATAAAGACATTAGAGTAATTCCAGACTATGCAAGAGATCCAAGTAATGACAACATGGGTGTGGTAAACATAGAGATCCAACCAGAAATTCGGTCACTAGCAGGATCAGTTTTTCCTCCAATAAGAAGTGCCTTCTTCCCCCAAGAAACCTATGGCAGGCCAAAAGCAGAAAGAAACTTCAGACACTAGTAGTTTTTGAAGCTCCACAAGATGGAAAACTTGTGCATAATGCTACAGCAAGGCATAAGCAGCTACTGGCAGTTCTTTATTAAGGAGAAAAGCCAACACATGATACATGAAGCTCAAGTAATATAGGCACAAGGAAGAGGAGATAATAACCTTTGGTTTCAATGTCTCTCAATGAAACTGTCATTTTCTATATTAAAACTTTAAATAAATATATCATAATGGAAAGCTTGGAGAAATATGTTTGTTTGTTTCATCCACTCAGTAGGATTTGAGTTATTGTCTTATGGATCAATCTTCTAGACTCGGAGAACATACCATCACTTGAACTTTCTTTGCTGGACACCAATGAGTTTACACCTAACTGTAGTGAACACACACATTCTGTGTGAAAATTATTTCCATTACTCAAGAAAATAATTTGCACCCCGATTAAGGCATCAAACATCTTAAACTGGAAAAATCATCCTATGCCAAGTAATATAAAGAAACAGTCTGGTTCAACATGAAAGGATGCAAAGCACAACAACCACAGTTGAAGAGTGCTAGATGACAATACCAGACAGTGGCCTCTGCATGCAGGGATCTTCAATGGCAAACTGCTGGGTGACAAGTAAAGCTTTGATGAAATTGTAGTCCAGGTGAATTGGTCAAATTTCAGCACCTGAAGAGAGAAACCAAAGATTCATATCAGCTTCCACACTAAAGTTTGCAACTTCCTTATAATAAAGAAAAATAAAAAATTCACAAAAGAAATATTTGAATAATCATGGTCTATATTGCCTGCTGACACCATTTTGTTTGAATGTAAAAATGTGTCCCATTTATTCAAGAAACTCGGACTCAATTAAAACAAATAAAAACCAATGGCATTCTCGTTGCTAGAAAACATTCTCTCTACCTGTACATCATCTAACAATCCACTTCCAGAGTCTCCACCAACCACTATCATCTTGTTCCCAATGACGGTTGCTGCATGCTATACAAGAAGGGAAAAAAAAAAGTTCCAACTTACAACATTACACACACAATGAAGAAAATTATCAATGCACACTATGAAACATTTCAAATATATGGGGAAAAAACCATTAAACAACATTACGTTGAAACGAGGAGTAGGTTTGTCCCCAGAAATCGACAACACCATCCAGTTCTCAGCATTCCCTGATGTAGAGGCACTGATATCCAGCGGAGCAGAAGAGGAGCAATTGTAATCAAGCTCGTCAGAATTATTAGTTGTAAGGGCAGCACCTTCACTCTACACAAAAAAATTTGAACTTCTGACCACAGTGCACAAAGTCCCATTAATCCCAATCCACGAAAACACACGTTAAGCAGCTTACATTGACATTATTACTACTAATAATTCGCTTTGGGGGTCTAATAGGACTTCTAATCCCTGGTGTAGAATCAGAGAGTTGCACCTTCTTGACCCTGAAAGTAACAACAAATTAATGGCATCAAATTTAGAAAAGAAAAAAATAACGAAACTTAAAATCCCAATTCAGATCCATTGTTTTCTACAAATTTCAAATTAAAAGCGCTAAGATAAAAAGAACCCACCTGCCAAGTTTTGCTCGTCTTTTAGAGAAACCAAACATTTTTGCTAAAAAACTAGACCTTTCTGTAGTCTACTTCAACAGCTTAAAAGGCCCTAAGGAATAAAAGGGAGACCAAAAAAAAAAAAGATTCAGAGAATCAAGAATGCAGCGAAATTAGCATCAATGAAAAGCCCCAAAATAACCTCAAACAGCGACAAAAGGCAAAAACACATGCATAGTAGCGAAGATAAGTTGTGGAAGTAGAATCCACTAAAAAACAGAAGAAAGAAACAAAAAGACTTTCTAGTAGTTAGAAACTAACCTGTCAAGACCCAACAGAACAAGTTAAGTTGTGTTTGGTTGCTAGAGAAAAAGAAAGTAGAAAGCGAGAGATGAGACAAGAAAAGGAAACCAGGACTACTAGTGATGGAGCGTACAAAAAAAACAAGGGTGAGAAATGATAGAGGGCAGTGGATGATGGTAAATGCAGTGATCGAGGTGAGCTCTGTCTAGTGGAGAGACTGACCTCACTGGAGTCATGTTAATTATAAATTATAAATTATAAATAAATTAAATAAATTATAAATTATAAATTATAAATAAATTTAAAAGATGAGGAATTCACTGTTCCTGAGACACCATGCACGGCGGGTGGAATCAATTAATTTTCTATTTTTTCACATGAAAACAAAATTGTGGCGTCATTGTCTTTGCGCCTTTTAATATTGACTTGGGGCTAGATGAATATTTTCATGTAAAATTATACTGTAAATTATTATAAATATCCTTAAAATTAATACACTGCTTGTTTGATGTTATTTAAAAGTAAATTTTTATTTTTATTTATAAAATACACAATAAAGTTATCAATCTAGGCTTATAAACCAAAAGACTTTGGCTGGCTAGGAGAGGTGATGGCGTCTTATTATTTATATTTACATAGTAAAAATATCTCATTGTCCTTGGCTTTTAGTTTTTAATACCTTTTATTATTATACTATTAGTTTTTAAATTTTGAGATTCTTGATTGCTTCATTTTAGATTTTCACGGATTTAAATTTAAAAAATTAACTTAACTTAAGGATATTTGGTTATAGGTTATTTTTTTGTTATTATTTTTTTTTTAAAGTGAATATGTTTTTTTAGATTCTATCCTTTGATTTTTATTTTATTAGAAATTAATTTTTTTTTTGGTTATATATTTTTAAAATCTTTTTTTATTTGCTTGGGTTATTTAACATCTTTTTATGTTTTGCTTTTTTAGATATATTTTCTCAAAATATTTTTTTTAATGAAATATAATGAATTGAACATAGATGGATATTCACTTCATTGAATTTTATTTATTTTACTTTTATAGGGTATGTTCTAACAAATCATGCAATTTATTTAAATATCATCTTGTATTATTTTGTAGTTGAGTTGAAACCATCTCAGCAAGCATTTTTCGTTATGTGTGATATTTATTGTTAAATTGAGTGGTGGTGGATCTCTAATAATTTATTTTTATTTTTATAAGTATAATATTAATGACTTATTTTATTTATTTATCACTAATAGATTTTTTTATGTTTTGTTTTATATTATTGCTTTCGATTTAAATTAAATTATTATATTAATCAATTTTTTTGGAAAATTAATGACTTGAATATCAAATTCTTTTTATTTCTTTCAAAACACAATCGTTCCATGACATACATAGTGTATGTTTACAATTTAATTTAATTCAATCATAATAGATATTAATCTAATATATTAATATATAATTTATTTTTTATAGTTATCTTATTTGAAAGTTAATAAATAAAATATGTATATTATTAAACTCGATACAAAACTAATCATATATATATATATATATATAAAAACCCGACTGGTGACGCATCACCTTCCCTACTAATCCCCCTTCAACTCTTTATTTATTCTAAATTAAATACATTTTAAACTTAACCTAAAAAAATAATATAATTGAAAAATAGTAATAATTATAATTATAATATAATGAATAAAAATTCATTTAAGAATACATTCGTTTTAAGTTTTTTCTTCTTCTTATATTCTAACATCAAGCAATCAACATATTAAAAGCAAACACATCAATCACTTGAAATATATTAAGAAATGTCAAACAACAAATTAATGTCAAAGAAAATTATATCCAGTAACACCTTGAATTATATCTTCTTTTTTTTTCTTTCAAAAGAGATGTCAAATTTTTGCCGGCCACTAGTACTTGTTATGGTTTGGAGAATTGATTGAGATCGGATATGTGAATATATAGAGATTTGATTTCTATTTTTCAATTCTGTAATAAAAAAAGTATTTTTGATGTTTGAATGATTATATAAATCACAAATCTAATTTTATATGATGAATTAATATAGAAAATCACTAATTTAAAATCTGATTTGAATAAATTTTCAAGATTAAACTGAAAAATATTATTTATAAAATTCAATTGACTAAGGTAATTTTTAATAATTTTATTCATCCAGTCAAACTCGATCGTATTAACTTAATTGGGTTTTTTAATAAAAAAAATCAATATTTTTTTGCTAAAATGATTCATCCATTACCTACAAATTAACACATAACTTGATAAATTGAGGTATTTTTCAAATTAGTCTCCAAATGAATATGATAATTAGTATGCATTATGATTATACATGGAAGTGGCTGATTTAATATATATTGATATTCAGATGATCTGATGACAAGAATTTTAATGAAATAACTATTAAATATCTTAACAAATTATATGAGGGCGATCGAAGCTTCATCAGTTTGAAAACTTGTAAATTGAATGAAAATGGTTTAAATATATTTATTTGTTTTCAAATAAAGCTTGAATTATAATTTTAAAGTTTTATAGAGTTTAGACTTGTTGTTCATCCGTAGATCAATTTGAGCCTAAATTTTTCACCGCTTTATTGCATTGAAAACTAAGCTTATTTTACATGGTTTTCAAGTTGAAGAATATGCATGATTAAAGTTTTATACGAAAAATGTTTTATGTCTCTGTGTGTATTGTAGGTAAAAAACATGGAAAGTCTTTTGTCCTTTTCTGTTAATGTTTGGGTGTTATTTCAGTGACAGGTTTTGATGGGTTTTCAGGCGGTGACGATCGGATGGAGCGGGGATCTGGTGTTGAGAAACTTGAGGATGAGAGGAGAGTGAGAATTGAGTCGTTACAAAAGAAAGCTCTCGATACTTGCAGCGCACTTCTTTCCTTCTGTTTTGCACTTGCCCAATCATGATATAACTATCTCAAGAAGGATTTATTTTTATTTGCATTATGTTCTACGTCTTCCAGTTTCCTACTAAGCCTCGGCTTTCTCTTATTTGTGTATTTTTGTAGGCTAGGTTTGCATGCATTTCGCTGTGCTTTGCATCGAGCAGTTGGTGTAGGCTATGGATTCCTGCCTGTTCTTGGTTTCACTCCCGTCCAGGTACCTTTTTTGCCTTCTTATGATATCAGTTCTGTTTGGGATTGTTTATACTTGCTTTCGTTTTCCTTGTCTGAATATTTCAATTTCTACTTATAGTACTGTTGTTGCTTTGGTTTGTGGACACCTCCATTGGTTTTTGTTTTCCTCTGTGATTTCAGTATTTATTGTTAAATTCATCAGCCTAGGCCAATCAACAAGTGTGAAAAAGCCCCAAATGTTCAAGCAATCAACCACGGTCAGTAAGCAGATGACATCATTCTCATGGGGGAAGCGAGCTTTAAAGGTTGTTTTGAGTGTTTGAGGGTCATCTTCTTTGTTGATGAGTTTTTTCCTTTAGGGTTACTCTTATGTTTGTTTAATTTGTCAACTGGTGCCTTGACATGACCAGGCTAGGATGGAATCAAGTGATGTTGTGAATGGTTTGCAGAATTTTTATATGCTTTAGTTTTGTTTCTAGTTTTTCTCTTTTGGTCATCAAAGGCTAATTCTTTGCCCACTCACTCCTGAGATGGGGATGCGATGCTCTACATGCCATGTCTTTGCTTTTTTCTTCCCCTAACTTCGAGTATTTGTATGCTTTTCAATTAAGTTATCTAATGCTAACTTGGCAATTTTATGGGTTTTTTCAGATTCAAGAGAGCATAATAACGATGCTATCATTTTGTATCATCTTTTATTTATTTATTATGCTTCCATCTCTCTCGGCCCCAACTTATTCATTTACTTCTGGTTGGGGTTTCCTTCAACATTTAAGTTTGTCGCCTTGAATTCTTTTATTGAAATTTAATGCTTTTCTTTTTGTCTGCTTTGATGATTCAATAAAGGATGAAATTACACAATCATCTAATTCTTTCCCCTGATTTTCATATGAGATTGGTGTCATTAATTGATTTGTTTTCTTTATAGATGTGATGTTAGATCCTTGGTGGAAATCTTTTGCGTTATGTGCAAATACAAATGGAGTCATGATGTGGGTGGAATTAGAATATTTTTTGGTGTCATTTAGGCAGTGAGCAGAAGGCAATTGAAAATTGCAGACATTCACTCTGAATTTGCTCGCTATTCAGTGTTGATTTTTGCTTGGGCCATTTGTCAGTTAGGCAATCCCCTTTTAATGTGCGTAGTTTGCTTTTATTTTTTCCATCAATGCCTGTTGTTTGGAGGTGTAGACCCTTCGTTGCTCCTATGTTTTCTTTGCATACAGTTCTGTAACTACATCACACATGAGTTTTTATTCCCTTAGAAGTTATAGATGTATCGTTTTTTCATTTCCTTCGTGCAATTGGTCTGCATTTAACACTGCTTTCATTCTCCTGCAACTTGGGATTCTGAATTGCATTGTTTCAGTGTTAGTTGCTGCCTACGTGTTGTTGTGCTGAGATTTTGCAGGTGCATGTATGAGGGCCTATCTTGATTTCTTGACCAAACCGAAAAAGACCCTTAATCCATGCTAGAATAAATAGAGATATGGTATTCATGCATGCTTTGCAGCTCTACGCATTGCGCACATAAAACAAACTGCGCGTTTTATTTCTCTTAGTTTTTATTTTTTTTCATCTGTTTGTCAAAACAAAAATTAAATTGTTCTCGACTTCCTTTTAGTGAACTCAAACCTGTTGTTGATGATCAAGCTAGCATGGAATCTGACGGTGATTGATACCAAGAGCATGCTTTGCCAGATAGGGATGTTGAATGGCCTCCAACAACAAAGAGAAGTGGGAATCTCATTGGCAATCTTGGCAGAAGTAACTGACTCACAATCCAAAAACTCAACATGTATATTTTCCTTCTTTTTTGAATTGATTTGGTTTGAGTTGATCTATTTTACTTGGGTCCTTGGGCTTGACAATCCATCTTGAGAGATGGTTCAGTTTGGAAATAGTGGTTTTATGTCGGGAATTAGGACTTGCTCTGTGACTGGTGCCGGAGACTGTCTCCTGATATGGTTCCTATGCATAGCTCTTCTGTGCGAGGGATGCAAGATGAGTTGCATGCTGTATTTTTTTTGTAAATAAATTCATGATTTGTCATTGGGTTCTTCTTACTAGTCTGTTGTCTCTACATTCTTCTTATCGTGTGGCTATTCTTAATAAAAAAATCAAAGGTTTGAAGAAGCACCATTGCTTGATTTGTTGGCCTAGACAACCACGACAAATCATTTGCTCAACTGGGTGGAAGTTATTTCCTGTACTGAGAAACAAAAAAGCGTGACTTGTGAGTTCTGGTTCCCAGACCACATATTGCGTTGTTTTTCCTTTAGAAATCGATACCGACATGATTGATGTGTTGAAGAACAAATTTCTCCTGAAGATGGTTAGGTCTGTTGGCAAGGGTGTCATGCGCATGTTGCCCTCCTCTTCTAGAACTATTAACAGAAATAACGAAGCTCAGAGGACAACCTCCCTAGCTCCTGAAAAACAGAAAATATCAGGGTACATGGCACAATCTGGATGGGGTATGAAATGCAGGCGCTTACTTCTTGACATTTTGGAAGCTTCAGCTATACTTGATCATTTAGCTAGCAGACATTTTTGGCCCTTCCTGTTCTGTAAATTATGTCGACAGTCGTGTAATGAAGAAAGAAGACCTCGCAATATTGCAAATATCAATTGTTAACTAAAGTAACCCAAGTTTGATATAATTTAGGTTAATCGTAGACAAAAGTTCATGTTGTTGTCTTGCCGCAGAATGTAACATCACACAAATAGTTTAAGCTTCCAGTAAATTCCCAGCAATGGGAAATGCCTGCAACAAAGCCCCAGGAAGGGGTCTTTGCAAGGATAACATAGAGTGGAACACCAGCTCTTTGAGAATTCCAAACTCCAATAAACGCTACGTAATACTTTTTTTCTCTTGTATTTTAATTAATTATTTTTCTATGTGTAAGTATTTATGTTAATTATTGTTTGATTTAATAAAAAAAATAATTAAAATAAGTATTTAAATACAACTCAGTTTATTTTTTATTTTACGAGATTATATATCTTGATATATATATATATAACTTCTGACTACATTGTCTCAGATTATAAAATAAGTATTTAAATATAACTCAGTATTTAAATACAACGCTACGTAATACTCAGTTTATTAAATAACTCATATTTATTTATTGATTAATATTGTTCTCATTCGTCAACTTCTGACTACATTGTCTCCGAATACATCCACACCCCCGACACCTGCTATAATTTATGGAGTGATATCATTACTAGCATGTGTGTGTGTGTGTGTGTGTTATTAATAATCTCGTACATAGTATAGAGCAGCTAAAACACATCTCTTTTATTTGGTTAGTGCCTGATAAGAAGGTAATTAGGCTAGTTAATTAGCCGATGGGTCAAACCCATAATGCTCCGGCATTTTTGAGCATTGGGATTAAGGAACGACTAAGGTGAAGACTCATCACCTCATTGGATCCACCAACATTCTCACCGCCGATGAACACCGCCGGCAACGTTGGGCATCCAGCCCTTCTGAGTGCTTGCTCGATTTCCCTTCCTCCGGGCATCTCATCAAGCTCATGGACAGCCGGGTTCACCCCAAAGTCACAGAAGAGAGTCTTGATGGTGTGGCACATGCAGCATGTGGTCTTGCTAAAGATCACCACAGGCCTCTCCGATGCCAACTTTGTCACCCTCTCCATTTCCAAAGCAATCAGCTGTCGAGCAAGAAAATAGGTTAAAAAGCTGAGGACAATAATGCCAATGAAACAGTGATGATGTAGCTAGAGAGCAGTGTGAGCTAGGAAGCTGTTGCGAGGTGCTTGACTCCATGAGACTCGGTATGTGTATATATAGGGTAAAATTCTGGGGAGGGCGTTGTTGGGTGGATGGCGTCGGCCGGCACTTAGCAAAGAGAAAAAGATTTGATTTTGAAGAAAAAGAAGAATGTTCTCTTAGATATTTGGGTCGGCTTCGAAAATCTCAAATTGATTGCTGCATGACACAAATGCAAGCCTTACACCGTATCAAAAGTAATTGCACGATGCTGCTTTTTGATATTTCGTTGTAAACGGGGATTGAATAAGATTTAAATTTATTTATTTATAATTTAAGATATTTTAATATAGCGATATTATAAATGATTTTTAAAAAATAAAAAGTATTTTAATATATAAATTGTTTTAAAAAATAATTACTATCACACACGTTGAAACACCAAACACCGATGATATCTTTAAAGAATATTTCATACGGAAATGGAGACGTGTTCTTTGTACGGTTGTTCCACATTTATCATAGTGGTGACGACATGCATGTAATCTTTCTTACACATGCACACCTTTTTCCCTTTCTTTTATATTTTCAAGCTCTCATATATCCAAAGTGCATTCTGAGGAATTCCCTTAGCATGGAAGCATATGTGCCGAGCCGGAGAAAGGAGCTGAATCTATCCAGTTGGGACCTTTCTCAGACTGCATTAACATTCGCATCAAATTCATCAAGAAGGGACGTTTCACAGAGCCATCAACTTAATTATTAGCAAGCTAAATTTGGATGGCTGTGAAAGGAAGATTTATCAAGAATAATAGCCAGCAGAAACTTCTTCTGGGCATGCAAGAAGTTTCTGGGTGCTGATGAGCTAAGCCTCCCCTCGCTTTCGAGCGCATAGGTTTTTTCGCGGATTAAAGTGCTCGACCGTGCGTGAAACGAAGAGATAAATGCCAAGAGGTCCCAGCACCATCCTCTCTCTCTCTCTCTCTCTCTCTCTTCTTTTGATATTTTTCACGTCACAGTCTGCTTTTATCTATTTGTTTTCAGTTGAATTACTTTATTTTCTTCATGCAGATAAAAGCATAAGAAAAAATAGGAGCTTTTGTGTCTAAAGGCAGCTCCCATCACATTCCGTGTGAAGAATCACTGCAATTATGAAAGTAATCAAGTAAATTACTGAAATATGAATTTTTTTAATAATAATAGAAAGATTTATTAAAAAATCATGCTGGCGTATTAGGTGATGGCCATCATGAAAAGTTAAAGTTTTTACAACAACAAAAAAAAAAAACAAAGTACCAAAAAGGAAAAGAAATAGAAACAAAAGAGGTGCTACAACATGGTACCATACAAACATTCAACGTTGTTTTTTGGGTATTTGTCCAGCTTGAAATGCAGTCAGCACTGATAGAAAGTTCATTACCCGTATCTGAGATTCACAATTTCTTAACCAAATAAATAATCAATGGAGTTTCATAGAAAGGCATAAGTTCAGTTTTGGTTTAACATCATTGAAATCCAAATTATTTGTAGTTAACCAAAAGGACTAATCCAAGGATTAGAGATGGAGATCTTGTACACAGTTTATGTTGAATGATCAACGGATTAGAGATGGAGATCTTGTACACAGTTGAATGATCAACCAAATAGAAGTTTGAATCTTTGGAGGAGCAGTAGACTTGTATGGAAAGAGAATGATTGGCTATACTCACGGCCAGATTTAATAGTTTCATAGATAAAATTTTTTGTTGGTATTTACATTTACAGTCCATCAGTATGTATCATACCGATGGGATCACAAACTGAAATAATCCTTTGGAAAACTCTCGTTGATAATTTATTGTTTATTGAAAATAAATACAATAATGGATTTATAAATAGACAAAGCGCATAAATTTTTTTTTTACCGCTTCATTCTATAGGTATCTCCATATGTAAATTTAATATATAACCGACAAGAAAATTGTATGTAATGCCATTGATATTTTTATTTTTCTGTTCATATATTCATCGGTAAATATAACATATCACCAATAAAATATCATCTGTAATTTTATTGGTGAGTTAACAGTAGCAGTGACATTTGGAGTAATTTTTTTCATCTCTCTAAAATATATCGATGGAGTTGTTCTGTCAATAACCCCGCTAGTAATATTTTAAAAATATATTTTTCTAAAAAATATTGAATAGAAGTAGAAAAATAATTAAAATAATATAAAAATCAAATGTCTATTATAAATTTAAATATTTGTATGTTCAAATACAATAAATCTAAAATAAAGACAACATTAGAAGAGAAGGAAGAGGAGGAGGCTTGTCGTCGTCAGGACTATAAGGCTAATTAGGTGGTGCACATATACCATTTATATGTGATCTCATCTCCATTATCAATCGGCGAAGTCTTTTATAATCAGTAGTGAGTCGTTCATATTTTTCACTAAGATAGGCACCCAAGCCTATACTTGTTGATCTAACATCAATATGAACTCTAGAGTTTGAGTGCTCAGAATCTATTATGAGCATCCAACAATTGAACTATGAGTCGTTTGTAAGTTCTTGGTCATAGTGTTTGAGAGTCTATACACCTGATTTTTATGGGGTCCACTAGACGATCTTGCCTCCATCCATAAATCTGAATTAAGATCTGGATGAGTTGAAAGATCATCCTTGTATCTCGTCTTTAATCAACTATTATATATATTTTGAAAAGAAAAAAATAAATTCATCAAATTTAAGGAAATAATAGTTTAAGAAGAAAAAAGATTGAAAACCAACATAACATAAAGTGCCGATTTTGGCTATCCATGGACTGCTGCATTCTTTTTTAGAGGTCATCACTTCGTATATGTATTTCAACAAAAAGCTCTATTGGGTTTGGCTTGTATCCAAGAACTATAGCATGTAAGATAAAAATGTTATCAATTAAATATATTTATAAAAAACAAATAAAAAATGGATGTAATAAAAAAATCTTACGATCCACTTCGTATGCAAAACAAATAGAATGAAGTCACCGGTGTATGTGGTAACAAAATTGTGAATACGCTAGTTCTGATTGTCCGTACCATACCATGATCGTTGTGTGAAATGCGTAGACGTCACATGCTGAAAGCATGTTGCCTATACAACCTTTAAGACTTACAAAGGTCTAAAATCATTCCAAACAACCACATCATTCTAGCTTAGAAACTCTATTTCTTTCATATATTTTATAGCTTTATTTTGCATCTTGTACCAAAAATTCTGCAATCTATATCTTACAAATTAATTATTTGTCAGGAAATGAAAAATGAAATATCAATATTTGAAAAAAAAAATTATCCTAAATTCTATCTTACCTAATTATAGTGTGATTATATCAAACCCTCATAACATTATTATCAGCTCTCTCTCATTTAAATTTT